GATAAATGTGGCTTCGCTCATCAAAAGTCAGCAAAAAAACATAAAATCAAAGAAAGAATCAATTAGCAAGTAAATGAAATGAAATGAAATACTTCCGAAAAATTAATCCTGGAAGCTCATCTAATTTACAGTTACATTTGCCAATAGGCAAATAGAACACATTCGAATTCGAAAGATAACCTTGATACTCTCTAACTCCAGTAGAGAACCGTGATTTACCGGGTTATATCACCTGTGAGAATCGATAGGAAAATTGTGAACAATTTTGTAAGATGCAAACCCTAGGAGCGAGTTCCTCAATCGTGCTAGTTGGAAATAGAAAGGCTCAATCGAATTTGGGCCAAATGTGAAATATAGATTTTGTTGAATAAGTAAAATTGCATATGGGCCGAAATCTATTGTAGAAGTTACCTTTCTTAAGGAAAAAAAATTTGTAGTGGGGACTACAACTTGTGCATCCGTACATAGTCGAGTATAACATGTGTAGTCCAGTATATTTTAGCCTTTGACTTAATAAAACCGCTTTAGTTGGATTTTTTTTGAATTTCTTATATGACTTACGAGTATTGATTGAAATAAGGTATGGAATAATTTTTTTTGGGCTTGATCTTGATTGATAGGTGATAACATTGTGAAATTCATGCTTTGTAGTTCTAGATATCTAATTTTCGCCACTTTATTTATATTTTTCATACCTTAACCACAGAGCCTACATTATAACTAAATGAAAAGTCTTTTTTAATTAATTAATTGCGTACAATAAGTGGTGGAGATAGTAGACGGTTTACAAGTTTATGGTAATTCTTCAACATTGAATTGGCTTGAGCGATTATTTCTCTATACACTTTTGAGAGTGAGAGTATACACGTATCCGGTGAGGTTTGTGGATTGAAAGTATTGACCATCATTTTGATGAAGCATTCTTTCTTTTTAAAAATTTCAGAATTTGGTTATGTTATTTGTCCGATGCCTATTGAAAATGTGCATGATTGACTTTGAGAGTGTGATTGGTTGTTCTTGTGTGTTGATAGAACTTTGATTCATTGATCGGGACTATAAATGGTTTAAGTTTGGGAGTTTGTTCATGTGTGACTTTACACCATATTTATATAGTATCTAGAGTTTGTTCCTTGCATTATTGGTGTATAAATTACATTTTTGTGCTTTAATTCTATATCTGGTTGGAAATGTATTACACGTTCTTATTTTTGTAGATATTTTCACATATTTTCACATGGTGAGTACCTAAGACCCCCGGGATGATGAAAGATTGATGCACGGATGAAAAAAAATGGAAGAAATGAGTGAAGTGAGCAAAAAGTAGAGAACATATTTATGACACGGGCACCGTGCCCGTGTCACCCAACAGAGAGATTGCGAGGCTTTATATGCGACACGGCCAGCGACACAGGCAGAGTAGTCGTGTCGCGTGCGTGGGTTGTTTTTTATTTCTTGGCACTTTGGAAAAGGAATATGTTTTTGGATGGTATGAAAGGCATAATTACCTTATTTGAGGGGGAAACATGATACACTATGAGAAGGAGACCTAAAGTACACAAGAGAGGCAATTGGGAAGCAAAGAAGATCCAATTACGAAGGAATCAAGAAGATTGAGAGATCGACGATATTCTTAGTTTTTTTTCTTCTTTCTTTTGAACTTTTATTTATCATGTCAATTTCCATTTTGTCTATGTATTTAAATCCGAAATGAGTAGCTAGTTTATTTGATTATAGGACTTGATAGTAGATTAATATGTTGCAATTTTGAATGATTTATTTATAATTAATTATTTTTCTTACCCTATTCAAATACTTTCTTCTTATTTCATGTTTAGTACTTGGCCAATGCTTTTACGGGGTTGATTGGATACAAGTTTGGGCCGGAAATTTTCGGATTTTACTGTAGAATTCATGTTTGGATATAAGTTCCTTTTAACAGAGCAGGGCCCACCTGAATTTTGCATTTACTTTTGTCAGCCAACCCATTCCTACAGCTGTAAAACCATATTTGCACCAAATTAAAAATGAACTGCAATGTCTTATCAACACCAATCTCGATTCAACGCACACTATCTCCTCTTTCTCTTTAAATCCCACAGAGAAGATGGCGAATCTCCCACAAAGTCGTTCTTCTTCACCAACGAATAACAAATTTCAAGCCTTCATGCCCGAGGAAGAACCTGTTTGCACCACCCCCTCGTTCTTTCATTCTCTGATTCAAAGCGGCAGTTTTGGACACACCGCCGGCGACCACAGGCAAGCGCCACACAGACGACCGATAACACCTCCGCATCGATCGGCCGAAGTTGGTGAAGCCGCTATTCGGGAGAATACGGAAAGCACGGGGAGAGTATCTGTGAATTCGCCGGANAAAAAAAAAAAAAAAAAAAAGAAGAGAAAGGTAAAGTTAATTTTAGGGCTTTTCGACATTGAGAATAGGTTTTGTAATTGGGTATTTGGCCTACACTATTTTCGGTTGTACTTAGTTTGGAGCGTTTACAGGGTATATGAATGGTTTTTGTGCAACTTCAATTTGGCATTCGTGAAGAATGTGTCCCCGCATTTGTTTGTTTAATTTGACATTCATTTTTGAACTTCCTTTATTACTGTCCACTCATTGCTATGTTCTTAATATTGGTCAATTACTGAAGCTTTTCTCTTTTTTCTTGGTGAATAATCTGATTCTCTTTCTCTGTATTGTTGTTATGTTGTGTTAACCGGTTTATATCTCCAACTTTGTGACACTACACTAATCTGAAAAATATAAATCATTGGAACACATATTTGAGTTGTATGAAATTGTAGATGTCAATGAGTAATGAACAAGACTATGGGAACTGCTCCCAAGGTGAAGCCAAATGGCCCCCGGAGAATGAAAAATGCTTCGTCGACATCATGTTAGATGAGGTTCTTCAAGGAAATTGCGTGGATGGCAAATTCACTCCACAGTAATGGGTGGACATGACGGAGAAACTCAATGGCAGCTGCCCGATGAAATATAGGTACAGCTCACGACAAGTTGAAAGTAAATACAGACGGCTAAAGAATACTTGGGCGCGGTTTTACAACTTGCGCAATAATGCAACGGGATTCGGTTGGGATGAAGCGCGCGGTGCCGTCACGGGTAGTGAGAAAGCTTGGGAGAAGTGGTGCTCTGTAAGTTCCTTTTTTTAATTTGATGCATCACTGTGGTTGAAAGTTTATGCTGGTACTTGTGTTTGAAGTTACCTTCACCGCTTTTTTGGCTTATTTATTAAGTTAATGCGCACCCTTACTCTCGGCATGCTTGCAATTAAATTGCTATATTACGCTGATGCTACTTGCGGTATTAATAATTACATAAGATGCTGTCTTATATCTGTGAATGTCCTCTGTTTTGGTTGATTTACATTTTGTTGAAAAAGAGAACTGTTGGTTGTGTATATGAACTTGCTGTGCTGAGAATGAAGTTGCTGTTTGTAGGTTTATTTACATTCTGCTGAAAAAGAGAACTGTTGGTTGTGTATATGAACTTGCTGTGCTGCGAATGAAGTTTCTGTTTGTAGTGTCTGAGTAGCCAGGTTAGTATTTTTTTAGGTTTGGTACATATTGACATCAGGTTTCTTGCTCACAGGCTAAGATTTGGTTCGGAAATTTTCTTCATATGCTCATTTACATGAGGTTCGCCATTTGAAGGTGTCTTTTTTTTAAAAAAAAAAAATAAAAAATAGGCTGAGGTCAGTTCTTTTAATGGGTTTTGGTGGACATGCTTTTGTTGTTTGTCTTGGTTGATTATATATTTTGTTCTTACCTACTGTTTCTTTAATTGTGTCTCATATAATTCATGAAAATTGTGTTTTCTTCTTTCTCCTTCCGTGACGCAGAGATATAATGATCATGATCTGAAGAGGAAGACTTGCGTACACTACGAAGAATTGACTACCATCTTTTCTGGTTCGACCGCAACTGGCCGCTATGCGCGTGCGTCGACCCAGCGAGGAGAAGTTCAAGGAAGCATGGGTGGGCATGAAGAATTAGGTCAGCAGAGTAGGCCGTTGCATTCCGTTGGAGAGGACGAGGATATGTTGTCACCGCAGTCCTACGGAACAAGTGGAAGGAACAAACGGAAGCAAAGAATGGGCGAATCGGCATCTGTACTCCACTCTATGAAGGAGTTCGTGAGAGACATGAGTTACACGCTAGCACGTCTAAAGGAGGAGCAACCGTATCGAAAGGAGCAGAAGGAGGCGCTGCTTCTACTTGATGCTATGGAGCTTCCCGAGTCTGCGTACAAGGTTGCTTTGAAGAAGATACCAGATTCGATGGCCCGTCATATGTTTCTGAACATGGCGAATGACCGGAAACGATGCCTACTAGTGGAGGTTTGGGTTGAGGAGGGTGGTGGAAGTGGGTGATGTCGAGACGACGACTCTTTGTGTGAGCTATGATTATGGAAAACTTGTTTGCGGTTGCATTTTATTTCCTTGGACTGCTTTTTCACTAATTAACTAAACTTGCTGTTGTAGGGGTTGTGTATTGAGAACATGTTTGTGTGCTTGCTTTTTTTAGGACTTGCTTATTATTTTATTTTTATATGTTATGCGCCTTGTATCATTACATATATTTATATTCTCAATTAAAATGATTTGTAGGATGTCTTATGTAAACGACACTAATGGATATGACGACGTGGACGACATTATGGAGACGGAATACGATTCCATCGGGCCTTTCGAACCAAACGATGAAATGGATGAAGATATTGTACAAGATAAAGATGTGAAAAGGCGGCCTCCTAAAATTGCACGAGCAATTAAATTAGGCAGTATTTTTGTGTCACATTTAAAAAAAAATCGTGCGACTAATGGAAAGCTCTCCGTCCACATTCGAACGGCGCCGGAGAAAACCCTTCCGTGAGTCAAGCTTTACAGGAATGCAATGGATAAACGAGCTTCTACATGGGAACCCTAGGAGATTTTACTACGCTATGGGTGTCGATAAACAAGTTTTCCATCGTTTATGTGAAGAAATGCAAAAGAGAGGTGTCCATGGCCATCACAAGCAAAGAAAAGTTTGCATTCAAGAAAGTGTTGGTATTTTTTTGCACACAATAAAAGGACATCAACGACATAGACAGTCAGCTGAATCATTCAGACGATCTACTGAAACTATTTCACGACATTGTCATATCATTATAACCGCCCTCGCTGATATGGGCCCGGACTACATCCTACCCCCAGACGTGAATCGGGTTCCGGCTTGGATGCGCAATAATAACAATTTGTATCCGTATTTCAAGGTGACAATTTTTGTAGTCGTATGATTTTACTTGTTCCACTGCTTTTCACTAACATTTATAACTCTCGTTACTGATAGGATTGCATCGGCGCAATTGACGGCACCATAATACCAGCATGGGTTCCACATGGTCACCAGGGGGCGTACAGATGCAGAAAAGGATATCTAGCGCAGAATGTCATGGTAGCCTGTGATTTCGAATGAAGTTCACCTTCGTGTTGGCAGGATGGGAAGGTAGCGCTAATGATGCCCGAATTTTCAAAGATACGTTGTCCAATCCGAGGTATCAATTCCCTTTTCCACCACCGGGTATGTCCGCCTTCTCAAATTATGGCTTTTAATTAAATAAGCGTTGTTGAATATAAATTCAGTATTTCTGGTGTCCTTTTTAATCAAATGAAATGTTTGTAGGTAAATATTATGTTCTTGATTCTGGGTATTCAAATCATCCCATTTTTTGGCGTCATACCGCGGCGAGAGATATCATCTGCCCGAGTGGGTCGGATCAAATAGGACCCCGAGAAATTTCCATCAACTATTTAATAAAAAGCATGCAGTTGTACGCAATGTTGTGGAACGGTCTTTTGGTCTCCTTAAAAATAGGTTTCCTATACTGAAAAATTTAATGCCGAGGTACTCCCTTAAGTCGCAGACGGACATGGTTGTTGGTTATTGTGTTTTACACAATTTTATACTGACGCATCAAGAAAAGAATACGACACCGGCGGCGTGGTTACAGCCCGATTTTGTTCCCCACAATGATGCGGATGATATGACATTCCCTTTTATGGATAGAGTGGATCCGTCGATGGCCGGCGAAGAGGAGCAATGTACATTGCGTGATAGCAACAGTTCTGCGGGAGGATCATGTGAACCGAAATCGTCGCTGATGTATTTTTTTCGTTTAGTCCTAACTATGTGATTTAACAGGTTGTTCTTTCTGTAACATCCGTGACATTTACTAGTACTCAACATTTTAGTAACCATCTTATAGTTGTTATCGTATGTATATATTGTATTATATCGTATGATAGAAACAGATAGAAAAAAAAAATGCTATAAACTCATTTATATATTATTTGTGTATACGTACCTAATTATATATATATATATATATATGTTATACAAAATATACAAGACCCCCTTACGATTTTGGGTGTTTCGCGCATACAAAACCTTAATAGAAGGGGTTCTGACGCAATTTTTAAAATACAGGGGGGAAACGCGCAGATTTCGTATAATACAGGGGGGTTTGGTGCATTAAACCCTATATATGTTATACATTATGTTAATATATCTTAAAATATAGAGACACATATACATCTATATATATATATATATGTTTATATATTTATGTATAATATAATACATGTTTATATATTTATGTATTATATATATATATATAGATATACCGATTTCTTTATATATGTAAAATTAAATATATATATATATATATATATATATATATAGGGGATTGATCCAATGAGACCACTCCTTAAAATGAGAACGCGAGACTCAATCTTAGCCACTCATTTTGTCTAGATCAAAATCAATTAAAATATACATTAATTAAATAATAAAATAATTATTTGTTGACTCCGGCGTTGACCGTTAACTTCCGGCGAAAATCATTGACTTCCGGCGTTGACCCGTTGACAAATAATCTAGCATCAATAAATAAATAACCTAGCAACAATAGACATTCAACCTTGAGTGGTGTAGTGGTAGCATTGCTTGTCTTGCTTCCATGAGGTACCAGGTTCAAATCCTATGGGTTACAATTTTTTTATAAAGAAAAAATACAACTAACTTAGCAGCATCAGACAACTAACCTAGCAACAAAACACAACTAACCTAGCAGCATCAGACAACTCACCTAACAACAAAACACAACTAACCTACAAAACACAACTAACCTAGCAGCAAGAAAGAACAAACTAACCTAGCAGCATCAGACAACTCACCTAACAACAAAACACAACTAACCTACAAAACACAACTAAGCTAGCAGCAAGAAAGAACAACTAACCTAACAACAAAAACACAACTAACCTAGCAGCAACAAAGAACAACTAACCTAACAACAAAAACACAACTAACCTAGCAGCAAGAAAGAACAACTAACCTAACAACAAAAACACAACTAACCTAGCAGCAA